GATGTCCTCAGTGAGGAGCGGGCACAGGGGTGTCCTCAGTGGGGAGCGGGCACAGGGTGTCCTCAGTGAGGACTGGGCATGGGGAGGTCCTCATGGAGGAGTGGGCCTTGGGGTGGAAGGTGTGAGGGACAAGAGTTTTCTGTCCCACCGCAGCAGCAGATCAGTTTTTATTACAATGTGGTTTCCATCTAGGACCTCGATTGAGCTGGTGGGAATCGTGCCACTCATGCTGTGCCCTGTCCCAGGTGGTCACGGGCGTGCCCAGGCATGCTCTGTGGTTCTGAACATCAGCCCGTCCAGCCTTTGCCATATACCTCAGAGGCCAGAGGCTGTGCTAGGGCCAATGGGGAGAGACAGAGGACAGTGTCCCAGGCAGCCCACAGACCACCGTCCCTGCCCCACCAGACCTGCCCTGACCCCAGGCCAGCTGGCTGCCCTGCACCCCTCCTGGCTGGGGGTGCCGAGCCTGCTCTGCCCCATCTGGCCAGGCCCTCGTACATCCCTCCCACTGGAAGGTTCTGCCTCAACAGCCCTGAAGGAGCATCTCCCAACCCCATGCTGGGTCACCTGCCAACAACAGGGTCTCAGCCGCCCCTCACGCAGCCCATGTGAGCTCATCTGCTCCAACTCGAGGTCGAGGGGCCATGGCCTATGAACCGGACCATTCTTTAACCAGCAGCTTCACAGGTCAACATGCAAAATACATAGCCAGACACATGTGCGCTTGATTTTTACAAGTCTGCAGCCATGTGGTACCTATGGAGCAGTGGTGCTTCTGCCGTGGCACCCTGGCCTACCTCATGCCCTCCGTGGACTGGTGGCGGTGGTTGCGGTAGAGCTGTGGCACGCCCAGCATGGCTTCGGTCAGCACGGCCAGGAAGCCCAGGGTCTCCACAAACAGGGTAGAGTCAATGGACAGGTAGGTGATGTAGCCCACCAGGCCCGTGAAGGCCACGACACACTGCACGTAGTCCGCGAAGCTGCTCCACTGCCAGAAGTGGTGGGGGTCAAAGTCTAGGGCGAAAGGGAGAAGCGACCTCAGCACAGCTTAGGGTCCAAGTGAGGGGTCAAGGTCAGGGAGGAGAGAGGGAACTGAGCAAGAGATCAGGGTCAGAGGAGAGATGGGAACCCAGTGAGAGGTTAGGGTCAGAGGAGGAGAGACAGAAACCGAGCAAGAGGTCAAGGTCAGTGAAGAGAGACGGGAACTGAGAGGTCAGGGTCAGAGGAGAGACAGGAACTGGTGAGAGGTCAAGGACGGGGAGGAGAGACGGGAATGCAGTGGAAGGTCAAGGTCAGAGGAGGAGCCACATGTTCTTGGTCACACCCTGGTGAACAACGTGTGAAAGAATCTTGAAACAAATATTAACTCAACATAAAAGATGATGACATCAGGCCGGGTGCAGTGGGTACCTAGAGCCCCAGCTCCTCGGGAGGCTGAGGAGGGAGGATCACTTGAGTCCAGGAGTTGAGGCCAGCCTAGGCAACACAGAGACACCTGTCTCTTTAAAAACAAACAAAAACTTGCTAAAGCTCTTCAAATGAATTAGTCTCTGAGAAGCCGTACAGTGTAGGGAGTGCCCTGCAGTCCTTGGAATCTGATGCCCGGGTTAGGGGCGCAGCCCCCTTGGGTTAACCACAGTCTCCTGTTCCTCAGATGTTACCAGGGAGAGATGGGGACCACTCCTAGGACATTCTGAGGATTCAGCGAGTTGGTCTTGAGTTCTGTAACAGGCTTCAGCCGCAGTTACGCTCAGTAAATCCAAGCCATACCCTTCCTGTACCTTGTCACTTGCTAGATGATGGATTCTGTAGAAACCACACTCATAAGCACTCACAGAAATTAGCAAATTAAAGGAGGCAGGTGGACACACAGTCCTGGGGACACAGCAGCTGCAGGGAAAAGGTACACAGAGACAAACTTGCCAAGAAGCCTGGGCAGCGTGTGCTGCACCCGCCCCTCACCCGTCCTTACAGCAGCGCATACTGCGCCCGCCCCTGACCTGTCCTTACAGCAGCAGAGCCAGGGCATGGGCTGCAGGGGTGGGGTGATGGGAGGCGGTGAAGTCTACTGGGCTAGGGGGTGCTGAGGGGTGAGGTTAGAGGGACAGGGAGGTTATGGGTGTGGTGAGGTTAGCGGGGCTTTGGGGCATCACAGGGCAGAGAGGCCAGGGGTGTTGGGCTGGCTGCCTGTCGGGCTGGCAGTGCAGTGAGGGCAGGAGTGGTCAGGATGTGCACCTTCTCCCCGTCCCTCTTGACCCTAGATCTGTGCCCCCCTTCCTGCTCCACACTCCCTCACTGAGTGAGACACTGCCCAGTATCTGAGCTGGAAAGGGGCCACAGTGGAGGCAGGGCCAGAGGAAAGATGGGCACGGTGTGCAGCCCCTCCCAGAACACAGCAGGGCACGGGCTCATGTGCAGCCCCTCCCAGAACACAGCAGGGCACGGGCTCATGTGCAGCACCTCCCAGAACACAGCAGGGCATGTGCTCATGTGCAGCACCTCCCAGAAAACAGCAGGGAGTCCAGGAGGTTCTGAACATAATGAGATTCCATCTTTACAAATAAATACAACATTAGCAGGGCCTGGTGGTGCGCACCTGAGATCCCAGCTACTTGGGAGGCTGAAGCACGAAGATCCCTTGAGCCCAGAAGTTCAAGGCTGTAGTGAGCCATGACTGTATAACTGCACTCCAGCCTGGGTGACAGAGTGAGACCCTGTCTCAAAAAAAAAAAAACTAGTATGTGTTTCAAAGGACAAAAATCAAAGTAAAAAGCCAACCAGTGGAATAAGGGAAAATATTTGCAAATCACATATTTGATAAGAAATTGATGTCTAGAATATATAAAGAGCTCCTAAAACCCAACAACAAAAAAGCACACAAACTGATTCAAAAATGTGCGGCAACTTGAAAAGATTTTTCTCCAAAGAAGAAAAAGGAGATGGCAGGATCTAGATGAGCAGGAGACAGGCCACCTCATCCTCAATGCTCCTCCCAGAAACCTGCCTCCAGCCTGCGTCTCTTCCCCCAGATCTGGTTGGCCATGCTCTCTGAGGTGCCAGGAAGACGTGCCGCACTGGGGCAGCACCCAGCGTCAGTGCGTTACCAGAGGAAACAGAGCCTCGTGTGCCTTTTGGCAACACTCCCTGCATTGCTGAGAAGAAAGAAGGCAGCATGTGCTGTGGTGGAGAGGAAGCATGACAGGCCTGAGTTGATGACGCAGCTGAGCCTCCTTGGCCAAGTGCAGCCCCAGGCTCTTGCCACAGTCCCTAACAACTGAGTGATTAGGTCCACCTGCATCTCAGCCCGGCAGCTCATACAGGACAGTCTCACTTGGTATCACCAAAATTCGAGGCAGAGGGTCCTCTTAAATAGGCGCTGGTGACCAGGTGTGGTGGTTCACACCTGTAATGCCAGCACTTTGGGAGGCTGAGGCGGATGGATCACCTGAGGTCAGGAGTTCAAGGCCAGCCTGGCCAACATGGTGAAACCCCATCTCTACTAAAAATACAAAAATTAGCCAGGCGTGGGGCGTGCTCCTGTAATCTCAGCTACTCGGGAGGCTGAGGCACAAGAATCACTGGCATCCAGGAAGCAGAGGCTGCACTGAGCTGCTACTGAGCCACTGCACTCCAGCCTGGGTTACAGAGTGGGACTCCATCTCAACAAAAAAAGGCACTAGGGAGCTTAACCACACCCCAGACACCTTCAATTCAATGCATTTGCCACTCATGGCCAGCGGAGGGGCTTTCGAGGGTGGCAGGGTAAGAAACAGGTGAGGCAGCTGAGATGCACGGGTGAGGTGGGGGCAAATCTCCAAACAGAAGGCAGCCTGCAGCATGGTGGAATATTACTCAGCCAAAGAAAGGGCAGATTCATGCAACAGCACGGATGAACCTTCAAACAGGACAGCAAGTCACAGAAGCCAGACACAGGAACCACATGTTTATGAGTCCGTTCCTATGACGTCTCCAGCACAGGCAAGTCCACCGCGCCGCAGATGGGCCGCTGTCGGGCTGGGGGAAGAGGGAACTCAGGAAAAGAGGGAAGCTGCTTCAAAGGGGTATCTTTTGGGGTGATGAAAGGCTCCCTAATGAGATAGTGGTAATGGCTGCACAACTCTGTAAATACACTAAAAACCACTGAATTGTGTACTTTTAAATAGTGATAAAATGGTGAATTTTATGTTATGTAAATTGTATCTTTAATATATAACAAAATAAAAATTTTAATGCATATGGTTTGTCTTATACCAAAAGATGCAGGTGTTAAGTATCTATTTATTTTATTAATAACTGCTTATCAGTAAATACTTATTTAGCATTTTATGATACTGAAGTTGAAAACAGTTCCTTCAACTCCAAGTCTGGGAGTTAAGGTGCCGTCATCTGTATCCAGGACAATCTGAAAAAATTCAGCAGCTGTCTACCATTAACTGTCAGCTCACATGTGCTGGGGAACTGGAGCAGGCGGCAGGGAGGAGCCGGGTAAGGAAGACGCTGGCTGAGGCTGACCTGGGAAGGCTCAGAAAGCGGGAATGAGATCTCTAAGTTCAGTCAGGAAAAGTCAGAGGACGCAGGAGACGCCTGATATGTCAGGTGGAACAGAACGTTTTCTACAATTCTGAGAGACTAGTGTGTCAGGATATTTTCACTAAGAGTTTTAAAATCAGGTAATAAAGAAGAGAGGCCTAGAATTCCTCCTGGAAGATCTGGCCCTATCCTGAGGCACCCAGGAGGAAAGGGCACTCCGCTTTCCAAAGCAACTGGGCCCCCCACACTGCTGAGCTCGCAGGAATCTGAGAGGGCACGTGGCTGTGGGAGGGGAGGGGACTCCGAGAACAAGAACAAAAGGGCAAGAACGCAATTTGGACACACGCCCATGGCCACGCAAGGTGCTAACAGAACAGCTGACTCACATGCCATGACTTCCCATGCTGTGTTTCTAGACAGCAGCACCAAAGATAGGGCTTGAAAATGAGGCGCTGAATGCTGAATGAATGTTTCCAGGCCTGTGGGACTGACCAGAGGCCCACCCTGGTGTGCACTGAGCCCTCGGGACCCTCAGCTGCCTGCAGAGAGCAGCTGATTCTCAGAACCTTCCATCGTACCTGCCCTCAATTCACAGAGAGGTCTGCTTTTCCGGCACCCCCCATGGGGACCCCCAGGAACAGACCAGCGCTCGGCCTCCATCAGTCCAGCTGCTGCTGGATTAAAAAGCAGTTCTACCACTTGGGGAATGTGTATCAGGAAACTGTCTCCAAATGGGCAAGGAAGATCCGATTTCTCATCAGATTGTGTTTTTATGTCACAGAACACAAGAGAGATCCTGGTGTAAGAGGATCTGACAGCCAACATGTCCAAGGCATTGGAAAAAGAGCAACTCCATCATGAACAGGGGCTGGGTCAGATGAGCTGAGAACCGCTGGTCTGCTTTCCCAGTCACAGGAGGAGACAGGAGGTCAGCACAAGACACAGGTCATAAGGACCTTGCTGATCAAACAGCCTGCAGTACAGAAGCTGGCCAAATCCTACCAAAACCAAGATGGCCACAACAGTGACCTCTGTCGCCCTCACTGCTACACTCCCACCAGCGCCATGACAGTTTACAGATGCCATGGCAATGTTAGGAAGTTACCCGACATGGTCTACAAAGGGGAGGCATGAGTAATCCACCCCTTGTTTAGCATATCATCAAGAAATAACCATAAAAATGGGCACCCAGCAGCCTTCGGGGCTGCTCTGTCTATGCAGCAGCCATGCTCTCATTCCTTTACCTCCCGAATAAACTTGCTTTCACTTTATGGATTCCCCTCAAATTCTTTCTTGCGTGAGATCCAAGAGCCCTCTCCTGGGGTCTGGGTGGGAAGCCCGTTCTAGTAACAAACATGAGAGGGACAGAGAACTCCAGGGAGCTTCCTGTTGGGACTGGGACAGCTGGAGGGTATCACAGCACTGGTTTCAAACACAACGCAGAACTAACTGCCAAGAGTGAACCTGGGCACCTCAGACGCCTG